CACACACACACACACACACGCAAACTCATACACACACACACGCAAACTCATATACACACACACACTTGCATGCACACACATGCTCGCAACCTCACTTGCACGTCCTCACACACACACTCACTCTCACACGCGTGTCTCACCATGTGTGAAGTGACTCTGGTCTGCCACATATCCACTTGTTTCGGTGTGAGATCAGGGATCTGCATCCCGAAGCGCACAGCCAGAGCCTCCACGTAACCTGCTAAACTACACACAGCATTACTAACACACACAACTAGTTCACCCGCACACTAGTTCACACGGTTAGTGAAGCGGTTTACCCGAGTCCAGCCAGATCAGACACCAGATTCCCCAGAGCCGCCGCTGAAACACAAAGACCATCAGTGAAGGGTAAAAGTGTTTTGGCTGATAAAAAAACAAAAACAGGAATCCCTGATCTACAGAAATGAGAACTGGCTATATGTGCTTTAAATGTCATGACATTTTTTTAAATATATGTGTGTATATATTTATTTCAATAACCTTAATGGCCTTAAAAATTTTGTTTAAAAAAATAAGGAGTCTAGAACTTTTTGTCTTCTGATTTGGCATGAAATGTGAACTAAACATGTTCTAAACCGGTTTTATGAGATTCACCCACATAATAGTCACTGCTGACAAGACAGACAATACCAGAATAAAACACAAAACCTGTTCTGACTAGTGTGTGTGCGCGTGAGAGAGTGTGAGAGAGAGAGTGTGAGAGACAGAGAGAGTGTGTGCGTGTGTGTGTGTGTGCGCGTGAGAGAGTGTGAGAGAGAGAGTGTGTGTGTGCGTGTGAGAGAGAGAGAGAGTCGTGTGTGTGTGAGTGAGAGAGAGAGAGCGTGCGTGTGTGTGTGAGTGAGAGAGAGTGTGTGTGTGAGAGAGAGACAGAGAGAGAGTGTGTGTGTGTGAGCGAGAGTGTGTGTGTGCGAGAGTGTGTGTGTGCGAGAGTGTGTGTGTGCGAGAGTGTGTGTGTGCGAGAGTGTGTGTGTGCGAGAGTGTGTGTGTGCGAGAGTGTGTGTGTGCGAGAGTGTGTGTGTGCGAGAGTGTGTGTGTGCGAGAGTGTGTGTGTGCGAGAGTGTGTGTGTGCGAGAGTGTGTGTGTGCGAGAGTGTGTGTGTGCGAGAGTGTGTGTGTGCGAGAGTGTGTGTGTGCGAGAGTGTGTGTGTGCGAGAGTGTGTGTGTGCGAGAGTGTGTGTGTGCGAGAGTGTGTGTGTGCGAGAGTGTGTGTGTGCGAGAGTGTGTGTGTGCGAGAGTGTGTGTGTGCGAGAGTGTGTGTGTGCGAGAGTGTGTGTGTGCGAGAGTGTGTGTGTGCGAGAGTGTGTGTGTGCGAGAGTGTGTGTGTGCGAGAGTGTGTGTGTGCGAGAGTGTGTGTGTGCGAGAGTGTGTGTGTGCGAGAGTGTGTGTGTGCGAGAGTGTGTGTGTGCGAGAGTGTGTGTGTGCGAGAGTGTGTGTGTGCGAGAGTGTGTGTGTGCGAGAGTGTGTGTGTGCGAGAGTGTGTGTGTGCGAGAGTGTGTGTGTGCGAGAGTGTGTGTGTGCGAGAGTGTGTGTGTGCGAGAGTGTGTGTGTGCGAGAGTGTGTGTGTGCGAGAGTGTGTGTGTGCGAGAGTGTGTGTGTGCGAGAGTGTGTGTGTGCGAGAGTGTGTGTGTGCGAGAGTGTGTGTGTGCGAGAGTGTGTGTGTGCGAGAGTGTGTGTGTGCGAGAGTGTGTGTGTGCGAGAGTGTGTGTGTGCGAGAGTGTGTGTGTGCGAGAGTGTGTGTGTGCGAGAGTGTGTGTGTGCGAGAGTGTGTGTGTGCGAGAGTGTGTGTGTGCGAGAGTGTGTGTGTGCGAGAGTGTGTGTGTGCGAGAGTGTGTGTGTGCGAGAGTGTGTGTGTGCGAGAGTGTGTGTGTGCGAGAGTGTGTGTGTGCGAGAGTGTGTGTGTGCGAGAGTGTGTGTGTGCGAGAGTGTGTGTGTGCGAGAGTGTGTGTGTGCGAGAGTGTGTGTGTGCGAGAGTGTGTGTGTGCGAGAGTGTGTGTGTGCGAGAGTGTGTGTGTGCGAGAGTGTGTGTGTGCGAGAGTGTGTGTGTGCGAGAGTGTGTGTGTGCGAGAGTGTGTGTGTGCGAGAGTGTGTGTGTGCGAGAGTGTGTGTGTGCGAGAGTGTGTGTGTGCGAGAGTGTGTGTGTGCGAGAGTGTGTGTGTGCGAGAGTGTGTGTGTGCGAGAGTGTGTGTGTGCGAGAGTGTGTGTGTGCGAGAGTGTGTGTGTGCGAGAGTGTGTGTGTGCGAGAGTGTGTGTGTGCGAGAGTGTGTGTGTGCGAGAGTGTGTGTGTGCGAGAGTGTGTGTGTGCGAGAGTGTGTGTGTGCGAGAGTGTGTGTGTGCGAGAGTGTGTGTGTGCGAGAGTGTGTGTGTGCGAGAGTGTGTGTGTGCGAGAGTGTGTGTGTGCGAGAGTGTGTGTGTGCGAGAGTGTGTGTGTGCGAGAGTGTGTGTGTGCGAGAGTGTGTGTGTGCGAGAGTGTGTGTGTGCGAGAGTGTGTGTGTGCGAGAGTGTGTGTGTGCGAGAGTGTGTGTGTGCGAGAGTGTGTGTGTGCGAGAGTGTGTGTGTGCGAGAGTGTGTGTGTGCGAGAGTGTGTGTGTGCGAGAGTGTGTGTGTGCGAGAGTGTGTGTGTGCGAGAGTGTGTGTGTGCGAGAGTGTGTGTGTGCGAGAGTGTGTGTGTGCGAGAGTGTGTGTGTGCGAGAGTGTGTGTGTGCGAGAGTGTGTGTGTGCGAGAGTGTGTGTGTGCGAGAGTGTGTGTGTGCGAGAGTGTGTGTGTGCGAGAGTGTGTGTGTGCGAGAGTGTGTGTGTGCGAGAGTGTGTGTGTGCGAGAGTGTGTGTGTGAGTGTGTCTATACCTGCCATGGTGGATATTCCCAGCGTCAATCCGATGGACAGTTCAATCTGAGTGCCCTTAAAAAACAACACCGTATGCATCATTAGAGACGAACACAAAGAGCCTTTGAATAAATCCAAATCCGAGATCTTTTTTTTTTCGATCGCAATTCTGGCTTGTTTTCCTCGTAATTCTGGCCTGCAGAACTCTATATTGTGCTGAAGTGACTCACGGCGGCGATCATGATGGCGTTATCCAGGAAGCCGAAGCCGATGAAGGGAATGGCGTTGTGCAGCAGAACTAGAAAGCAGAAGATCCAGAGCTGAGAGAAACATCAGTGAATGAGTGAAAGAGCCGAGAGAGACGTGAACTCACTGTATCGGAGCTGCGCTGGCGTCGGCGGAGACGGTTCCTCCGAGTCTGAAAGCAGACATCAGATCCGTTATGTGACGCAGCTTCACTTATACTCGAACTTCTCATCAACGAAAATATAAACAAGAATGTGTTTTCAGTCTATGACTTGCTTATTCTTTTGTTACTTGAGTAGAAGTTAATTGTATTGCCATGTCAGCATCTTCAAGGCAAAACCATGCAAGAGTTACATAAAAACACAAAAAAATGATACAAATGTTTTTTTAAATGTTGATGATGATAAAAAAAAATCTAAAATCTTTTCTGGGCAAATCTTTCTTTTTTACTGAAATGTATACTAAATTTAACTTAGCATTAATTATTATTCAATTGTATAGCTAATTAAAAAAATTTTCCAACCAAAAAACACTTACTAAAATTCTCTTTAAATATTTTATTTGAAATAAAAATAAATAAAATAATTTGTAGGCCTATGCTATATTATTTATTGATAAATCAATATTAATATATCGATGGTGATCATGTCATAATTGATCCTTTATACATTGATCTTTCTATATATATATATATATATATTCATTTACTTGAAATAAAATGTATACATTCAAGATTTCTCATTTATTTAGATTAGCATAAATAATGCAACTTTTTAAAAATTTTGTTTAATAAAAAAAATACGTTGCCGAGTTGAAGTGTTAATAATTCAATTATACAAATAAAATAAAACACCTACTAAAAAGATAGTTTATTTTAAATAATAAATATATAAATAAATAAAATGTGAGCACACACTTTAATAATATTAAAATAAAAACAATTTAGATTTTTTTTTCATAAAATAATTTTAATTATTACTATCGTTACGATTGCTTTTCTCTCCATTTATGTTCAGCACACGTCTTCTGAATGCTTTCTCGTCATGTTAACGACGTTAACCTACGGTCACATATCCAGAGCTCCAGATGAGCTCAAACTGTTCTGAAGTTCATAAGAGGTCAAAGGTCACACCCTCACCTCTGACCTCACAATCTTGCACACATTCAGCTCTCTCACACACACACTCACTCTCTCTCTCACACACACACACAC